GCAGGCGGCGCGTGCTCTCACGCCGACAGGGACTCGATCCTCCAGCGTCGGAGTTAGCCGCTGTTCGTTCGTTTGTCTCCGGCTGCAACGTGCAACGACGTGTTTCCTTTTCTCGACGCTTGGCATTACTAACAGCCGCGGAAACCGTGCTGAGGAGCACCGCTTTGCATTGTGTCTGGCTGGAGTTTTGGAGGCTGGTCCCAAGGCCTGAACCGAGTGTGCATGGCTTAACTGCAGCGCCGTGGGGTTTGTATGTATGTGCGTTTTTTCTTCCCTTTGTGCATTTTTTCAGACCAGAAAGAGCGCTTCCACTATCCTCAAGCAGTTGTCTTCAGATGTTGGAGCTCAGAAAAGAACGACCTCTCTGGTCATCCCAAGGCTGTGACGCTGCGTTCTGGGTCTGGGAGGGGGACGCATGTGCCGCTGGACCAAGCTGCTCACTAGACACGCCCTTGTGTCCCCAGGAGGTCACTTGTCAGGCACTGTTGTTTGTTCATTTGCTTTGTTTGGGGTTTTTTTTTAACTGCTATTGGTGATAACATGCAATGTGATACAGCTATTGTCCATAATTTAATGTGAAATTAATCATGATGAATTCTATAGCATGCTACTGAAATGCCAAATTCAGCTATTTTCTTTCTCTTCTAAGACAGAAGTTCCAGTTTTCCACACCAGATGCACATATTAAAAGTGGAATCAGGCACCATCTTTCCTGTCACTGACAGTAGTCTTCAGCCTTCTTAAACCAGTGCTCACAATGCTGCTCACAGTTCATTAGCTGGCTCATATGAACCTGTACCCACACAAGACTGACCAAAAAATTTTCCTTGAACATTCTTCCTTTCTCATAGCTCTGTCTATTTTTCAGTAAGCAAGGGAAGGTTAGTCTTTTTTTTTTTTTCCTGTTAGGCTTTTAGAAGTGATTTTCTGTTTTTTTGTGTTTTTATCTTATAGTAGGTTAAGCAGTTTATTCTTCAAAGGTAAAAACTGTTTCTTTGCATTAATGTGACTGAACAACAACAAAAACAAAGTGCAATATGTTCCCAAAAATACTCGAGTAAACTTTTCCCCTATCATGTTGCTGCAGAAGTGTCCTTTCAAACAGAGCCATAAGGAAATTTTGTGCAAATTTCTTTATTGCCCAAGGCTTTTTTCAGTTTTGCCTTACTGGGGTTGAATGATGTTTCTTTCATAATGCCAAAGCATTCCCTTTCCCAGAAAAATCTCTTTGGATGACTGGTTAAGAAAAGACTTAGAGTCATAGGGGAGAAAAAAGCGGCCAAAAAGTCACATTTTTGCATTAGTTTACGTTGCTTGATTGGACTATCTTCAGAGAGCACAACATTGCATGTTTATAGCTTTAACTTGTGTTGTGTTACCAAGCCAGTGAGTGCCTGAGAGACATTGCATCTCTCCATAGGACACGGCTGCACTGCCTTCCAAACACTTGGTTAATCAAGAGCCACTTGAATTGTACACACACGTGAATTGTTGAAAACATATCCACCTTTTTCATAGTATATGATGTAGTTAAAATTGTCTGACTTCATTTTGGACCTACTTGTTACATGGAGTTAATTTTTTTCTCTTATGAAAGAATCATGAACTAGTATTTTGTGAAATCATTTTCTCTTTCATTTGTTATCCTTTTCTGGTACAATACATTAGGTTGTTTTCTTTTAGATTCTGTTTCAGATAAGAAAACAAGATGACTTAATCCTATTAACGTAAGGTAGTTCTGCATTTTTACATTCTAGGATCTTTTCTGAAATCTTCCATGTGAGGAAAAGCCTACTAATATTTTTGAAGACAGGGTGGTTTACTTAAAGAGCTTTTTCCAGCGACTCATGGTAGGTCGCCTCTGTTTTGTTTACTGCATGTGCCCTACGTTGATTTTATCCAGTCTCACGCTATATCGATTTGTACTAACTACAAAGGAAGTATCCAGGAGAATGTCAAAACAGACAGCAACGTCACCATCCGTGTGACTTCCCTAACCTTAGAACTTTCAAATTGAGGATATCGTTTATTCTTACACTTGCTTTTTTGCTAGTGTCCTTTCAACTGATAGCCCTATATTTCCGGGTAGGTGAACTGTATTGCAGAATGAAAATTATTTATATGGCTCGAAAAGGAGGAGAAAAGATCACAAACACCATAGGCGCTTTAGACCGGAAGGGGAAGCAAGGGTTAAGTAACTTAAAAGGGCCCCTTTGTTCTTGTTTTAGTTTTTTCCCCCAGAAATGTGAGCAGTTGGAACTTAGGATCTGGAAATATTAGTGCCTTTAGTAGAGCTGCTTCCTCGCCAACTTTCTTTTCAGCTCAGCATTGCTCTGTCTCATCAATAGTCAGGAACACAAGTTGACTTGGAACTCCAGACAGAAACAAAGCAATGTGTGTAGGTGCCTCAGGGAACTGCCCAGAAGCCTCGACTCGCGGAGGTGTCCGGCACCCGCGCACATGCCGCGTGCACAGCACTCCAGGTGGCAGACACCAGTTTACAGCGAGTTGCTGTCCACGCTCTGTAGCCAAGGCAAACTTGACGTTCTGATGCGGTTTTCCAGGGTGATGTTTTCTCAGAGTATTGGATTTACTATGTAGTCATTTATAGTATAGCTTTTTGTATTAAAATGTGATATTTTTAAACAGAGATATCTGGTTCAATTGGTATAACAATGTGATCATATACTATGCTGATTCACACCTTGTGCTCACATTGTCCCAAACTTAAATGTGCAGATGTATGTGAAAAAAGCACATGTGAATGTGAAATCTTTAATTCCTTGCTTCTAATGTTAAAATTAGCCCAATAACCCACTGACATTTATGCTTGAATCATGCCTATTTATTTTGGAATTTCAAGTTTTCCAACGTCAATGGTGATCCTTAATTTCTCAGATCACCTTAAGAAATATTAAAATATTGCCCCACTGGAAGAAATCTGTTCTTACCCCACTTGACTGTGGACACGGCCAGGCAAGTGCCTCACTGGACCCTTCACATGGGTGGACCCATGATACCTAGGGAACAGCAGTCTTGGATACAGGACGGCTTACAGACAGCTCATGTGGAGTCTGGGGCATGGCCTTGGCCTTTCACTGTGGTTTTAAACCCACTTGATAGCAGAGAAACCCAGGGCTGTTTTTAGAACAGAAAACTCAGTGTCAGTTTCATATCAAAATCATACAATTTGAACCAGCGCTCCTACTTTAATTGTTATGGTGTCTCCTGAAGGTCTAAATGCTTCTAAAACTAGTTAGTGTTATTCCAGAGCAACTTTTTCCTTTTCCACCTTATAATGTGTTTTAACCAAAAATCTTAGATGTCTATGCCGCAGCACAGTAAAATTATCAACAACAAAGATCTGTATTTAAAACTGTTCACCACTCTCAGTGGAGAGCTCATGCTCTTATGACGGGAATGTTCTTCTAAGTTCTAAGGACAGTTCATCAGGGAAAGATAAATCTCAGTGCATGTCGTAAAAGTGATTTGCACTGTGCTAGGAACATGAGGCCTTCTTGTTTTGCTTTACGTTGTGTTTTAAAGGCAATTCTAAATTGTTTCTCTGGAAAGCAAGACCTTAGACTCTTTATCTGGGAGGATGCTTTGTGCAGAGAGACGGTCTTGTGGGGAGTGAAAGTCGGGAACAACGGTGCCATTCGAGCCACAGGGGAATGAGCTCCGAGGTGCAGTGGGGCAGGCCACGGCGCACGTGGCTCCTCTGTCGAGATCGAGTCTGAACTTACCAAATTGGTAGAATCGGAAGCTGCTCCGGGTGGCTGCCGTCACAAGCTGTGTTTCCCTGTGACAGCGCTCTGGAGACTGACAGCAAACCAAGTATAACAGTCTTTCCTCAAAGCAGTACTGCAACATGAATGTACGTGTCTCAGGCGACAGAACTGCGGTGCCCACCTTCTTGGGGCGCATCCCACGCTAATCTGGCTTGGTCAGCAGGGAGGCCTAGAACTACCTACTCAGGTGAGACCTGGAGCAAAAATAGCTGGGGTGAGAGGGATAACGGAGGCAGGGGCGGATGTCCAGGCGGAGCCCTGTGGGGAGGAAATGTTTCCAAAGAACACGTGGAGCGCAGTGCTGAGCATGTGCGGTCCTCGACCTTGTGCGTGGCACAGGTGAGCGCCGGCTTGCATCCGCCCGCCCGTCCTGCCCCTCCTCCAAGTGCCTCAGCCCTGCAGCTCACCCCCTCCCCTGCCGTCAGCGGTCTGTGGGTGTGACGCCTTTCCCAGCCTCAGCCAGACGTCACCAGCCACCTGCTGAGAGTCACCAGCACTGACCTTCCTGAGTTCCTTTTTCTCCATCGTCCAGAACATGGCTTCGTCCCATCCCCCCCGGGTCCCTCAGCCATCCAGCTGCACGTCAGCCCAACTCTGCCCTGGACACCCTGCAGATGTCAAGAGCGCCTCATGTCCGTCGCGGCCCCCGTCCCTCTGCCCTTGCCCGCTGCCACAGCCGCGCACTCTCCTCTACCTCATCCCCAAAGAGCCTGGCAATTCAGAGTATCCAGCCTTCTCGTGGATGCACTCTCTGTTGTTCAGTAATGCTATTAGCATATTTTAAATAGGTCACAAGAGATGTTTGCCTTCCATCAGAGTAGGAGTCTTTATATTTATACATGATTCAGAAATTGAACTATTTCTACCGTGCAGAATTTAGCATTTAGCAGGATCTTAAAATGACTGAACTGCCATCCATATTGGATCTGTGTGAGGTCACGAACACTGGTGTTAGTCCAAGGTCTCGGAATGTCAAGTTAGAATTCTCCAGTAGTCCAGGGTGGTCTGTCGCCCTTTTGTGGAACAGGAAATCTCTGGCATGCAGAGGGGCTGGTGTTAGGGCCTCGAAGCACATTTTGAGTGGAAGGACACACAGAGGGTGTGAGATGGCCCCACTGGATCGCAGAAGCCCACTTGACGGAATGCCATCTGGTTGAGTGCCGAGGGGTTGGACCAGGCCTCCCCGGGTGAGAGGACACCTCTGGCCCTGTTCTTGTCCTGTCCTCGAGGGGCGCAAAGCGAGGGCACTGGTTCTGGAGCCTTCATCTTTCAGCGCACTCAGGAGTGTCCAGAGCTTACCGCTGGGGGGAGAAGTGCGTGGAGGAGGAGACTCTCACAGCGGTTCTCGCTTCCAGCCTGGCCTCCCTGTCGAGGTGGCGTCTCGGCACAGGCATCGCAATGCAGTTGCTAGACATGACCCGGTGCCAGGTTTCTGATGGGGTGTTGCAGGTGGCTGTCGGACCTGGCGACGAGCCATCCTGTTGGAAAGTGGAGATGAGTAAGATCTTGGCTGGCACGTGGCCATTTCCGCCTCATCCATGAGCAGTCCAGCCTGACAGTAGTGTCCAGTAAATGCCTGGAGGGCCCGGGAGGGAATGAGTGTCCTAGTTAAGAAATAAGACTTAACAATGGAGGCCGAAGGGATGGCATACACGACATCGTATGCCACAGAGTGTTCATTCTAGCCTTTGCTAACTACGACCGCAGTGCCATGAAGGGCAGAGTCGAACACGTAGGGGGGAGGAAGAGAATGGGTGCCCAGTTCTTGTGAATCTTATGGAAATCTTTGAATAATGCAGTATGTACCGCAGATCAACCCTGAGAACAAAATCCTCCAGCTCACAGTTCACAGGACAGCACCAGCCATCCTCGAGACTAAATATGCTCAGCATAGTCTTTGTTGGGTAAATTTTGCCAAAACATTCTATTTCCTTGCACCCCCAAGCAGACCTCTTAGAAAATGAATGTGCAGTTCCTACAGAAAGACCACCAAAGGCAGAGGGAGTCTGTGGTCTCTGGTGTTACGATGTGTGTTCACAAACCCTAGTTAGTTACGTGCATACATTAAGGTACGTGCAGACTAAAATGAATTAGACATCTCTTCCTTAAACTAACCAGTCTTTACAAATTTTCAAGTGACTCTCCCAAGTCTGTTAAGATAAGGAAGGATTTTTTTTTAAAAACTGTATCAGTTGGTTGGCCAGGAAGTTTCCTTCGTAATGTTGAGAGACTGTTTTCTCCTTTCTGAATGTCACTGGTTCTCTGAAATAAGAGTTCAATATACCCTTGTTCACCAAGGAAAGTGATCTAAACTGTGTATCTAGTGCAAATGCTTCCTTTGCATTTTGTTGACTTCTCTGGATAGAAACACGACTTTCCCCTTCCTCTCTCTCTTCACATCCACTCTTTTCAGCCTGAAATAAGACAGACACAGAAGCAAGCCACAAGCCAGCGTGGTATCTTCTCAGAGCGAGTAGGGCAGGCCCGTCCACACACACAGTCTGAGCGAGGTGTAGAGAGCCCATCGGGTCAGCCGGAACGCGGCCCCGCCCCTGGGATCAGCTCCTTCAAGCCTGAATACAACTTTCCTGGTCATGGAAGAACTGGATGCATCTTTTAACTTAAGAAATAGGATTTGAACTTGAAAACTCTTCTATGTTTTAAATCCTGATTTTGCAGGGCAGCTACATAATGAATGTATATATTAAGACTTTGTAGCTGAATTGCAGATGAAATCAGATTGCCAACTTCTTGACTTTCAATTTTAGACATCAGTTTATCCTTCAGTTGTGAGCGATATATGTAGCATGCTGTGAAACGTCTGTTCTAGTTCTTAATTCATCAGTATTAACACAGAGTCATCCTTTGCGTTTCTTGGTACTTTTTGTTCAGTGTAATCAGAAGCTGTGATTTTTTTTTTTTTTTTTTTGCCTTTGTTGTCCTGTGCTCTGTCACTGTAATTTTTGTTTACGAAGCACGTGACTTTGGACTTCTGTAAGGCAGATGACGTGATCTTTAAGACTGCTAGATGTGCACCAGTCTCTTACTCTGTACGGTTTCAAATTAGAATAAGCTCTCATCAAGTAGATGACTGATGCAGTGTAGGATTCACACAAGTTTCAGTGTCAAGCGGCGGTCTTATACTGATAGTGTCCATTCTGAAGCCAGCGGCTTAATAACCAGCCCCTTGACGCTCGTTCTGGCAAACCAGATTCTGCTGCAGCTGCCGTCTGAGGCAGTTGCCCACACTCGCCTTCCGGCACTCCGTGCCCTCCACGAGTCAGCACCTCGGAGATGACGGAACCGGGAAGCTTTCTGTACGTATGACTGGGTTCTGTTTTTCTTATGTTCTGACTAAAGCTGACCTGAGTGGATCAGTTTATGTGTAATATTCTAGTGCTTTAATGCCTCTTTTATTTTTTGGAGGGATGGGTAATATTGTTTGAGCAGATGCAGAAGGAAATGTTAGTGAGTCGACAAACACATTGGAAACAAAGGAACTGTGTACTAACATGTTAACAATTCATAACTGCACTTTTTATGACATTTTGAAAATCTATTTATAGGTACAGAACAATGGATTTTGTTAAACTGTATCACATTTATACTTGCAGAAATTTATTTCATTGTTATTAGTAGGAGTCTTATTGGTTCAATAAAATTGGCAAAACTGAACACCGGTCGTGTGCCTGCTTTGTGCTGGAGTGGCGGTCTTGCCTGGATTTGTCTCTGCCTTATTATTGAGACCTGCATTCTAAAAGGCAGAAGGCCTGTCAGGGGCCGTTGTTTCCTCAGTTTGTTTCCTGGCCCACGGTTTTCTTATAGCACTTCTTATAGTCACCCGAGAGGGCATTGGTGGAGTGTCACAGTAATGTCGGTTGTGGAAAAGGCATCGTTGTTGTGACCTTTTAAAGCAGCGAACGCACCCCAAGCAACAGGTGCATCAACTGTATCATGACTTGTGAATCAGATAGTCACGTGGACGGAAAAGGCGCATGGACTGTTTTGCACACTTGGAAGTCATTTAATCTTTGCGATCTTCATTCCTTCACCACAATCTGGGAGGAATGATGCCCACTTGAGATCGTGGTTTAAGAATCCAGTGCGCTCATGGATTTGAAGCGTGCTGCGCCGTAATGGACTGGAGCGGATAACAAGAAAGCCCGGGGAAGTGTGTTGCTGCCGCCTGGGCAATGCAGGGGAGCACAGGGGTCTGCGCGTGAACCGGGAAGCCGCGCTCAGACTCCCGGCCGAGGTGTGGACAGGCTTCTGGAAAGCTCTGAGGGCTGTGCCTTCTCTGCCGGGTTCTCCAAGGAAAGTGCTGCTTTTCCTCCCTCTGAGCTCACGCGCTGCCTGAAACGCGTGTCAAAGCGGGAATTCTCTGTGCCTCATCTCTAGCTGCAGTGGGTGACCAGCAGAGCCAGCTCCTTGGCAGAGCCTGTCACCTTCGGCAGTGCCCACCCCTGCAGGCTCGGTGGCCAGGGCACGCTGGCCCAAATACGGCAACAGCCCGGCCCTTCCACCAGTTCTCCCGATTCACAATCCTGCTTTTGGACTCTAACTGCCTGTGAATGTAGTAGCAACTTTGAGCCATGCTTTCACAGTAAAATAAAATTCCACGTTCTACTGGCTTGGCAACCTTGGTCCTTTGTCCTTTCACATATACAATCTCAATGACAACTTTGCAGTTACGATGCCTTCACTTCACAGGCGAGGAAACTGAGTTGGGAGCTTTGCTTGCCCAAGAGTTGGCACTCGGAAGGAGCACAGTGGGATTTGAACTCTGGTCCTTCTGACTTCATGTGTCCTATGAACTTCACCACCTTAATTCAGCCTACGTTCCTTGCTTGATGATACAAAGGACCCTGCTATCTACGTGACGTTATTGGGAAATGATAACACATGCTCCAAAGAAGAGGCTAGATAACTTTCTTCTCTAGTTAACTTACACCTTCTTAAATTTTAAAAGGTACATTTTTTTCTCCCTCCAGTCCTAAATAGCCCTTGATTTAAAAGATGGCCCCATTAATATCATCAGTACCTGTGAATCTAAAGGCTAAAATGTTTCCCAAGAGAACAAGGGTCCTGCCCTAAAGAAGACTCAGAAAGACTGAGAACCGTTGTTGCCATCTCATTTGTAAGACATCCTACCTCCCGGGGAAAGTTAGGATTTCAAGTCGCTCCTGATGCCTGTCCCTTTCTCACGTGAGCTTCCCTGCCTAAGGATTGAGAAGAAGGTTCATCTCAAGCATGTCTCTCTTCCCCTAATCCCACACACTTGGCATGTTTCAAGGCCCGGGTGAGCCCAAACCTTTCCACAGAGCTCTTGGGAAGGGCTTAGAAGCTGGGATCGTGACACCGCCTCTCGCATGCCCCCTCCCCAAATAAGCAAGTCCTTCGTCTTGGCGTCAAGGTGAAATTGAGAAAAACTCCTGGGACAGGATTTCCCGGTGCCTGCCAGCTCTGCTTGCTCGCATGGGCCACCCGGCAGTCCCCTAGCTGTCTCCAGCTCCTGCACTGGCGCCATGGCGACCGGTCCCACATGCCTTGGGACCTCCTGGGTGTGGCTCCCATGGCCCTGGCCTGCCTCCTCTGGCTTCCTGCCCCGGGTCTTCCCTGAGGGCTTGGAGCAGGATGCCGGAGGAACTGCTTTTCCACCACGGGAGCACAGCCCGGAGGGAGAGGTGAACGTGGCTCACCCATGCCCGGTGCTTCCTCTTCTCGCCCCCACCGGCCTGGCGGCTTGGAAGAGCCATCCAGCTCTACTGGCTGCCCCTGCATTCCCACGCCCCTCCCCCTCGTCCTCCATGCTGGCTCGGTCAGTGGCAAGTAAACCTTGGTCTCAGGCTCTGTTTCCAGGGGAGCCCAGGCTAAGGCAAGACACCACATCCGAGTTCAGGGTTGAGAGAGTAGTTCCTAGAGCAAATCCCTGCCTCTGCTCCACGATGACCACATATCTGGCCCGAAACAAGGCACTTAATTGTGTACTTCCTCGATTTTCTCATTTGCAAAATGCAGAGATCGGTCAGAAGGAAGAAGACACGGCTTTTGTCCTTAAGAGGGGATGGTGGGGGCAAGATGATGGCACAGACATCAGTCGGCACCGTGCAAGTTTGAAAATGAGAAGGTAAGAGCTGACACGTGGGACCCTGAAATCACACGTCATTTATCAGGGGCCTTGTCAAGGTGGGGAACTTTAACGACAATGCTGCGCTCTGGAGGTATTTTCCCTGTTTTAGAGTAAGGAAAATGGGCTCGGGAAAATCCAGCACCTTGTCTCATGTCAGACAGGAAAAGAATGGCAGAGCTGTTCTCAGATACATCTGGCTTTAGTTGCCATGTTTTCCCTCCACGCCACGCAAAGCAGCAGCATGTGCCCATTTGCGTGGCATTACCATTGATGGGTTTTAAGATGGTAACATTTAAGCTGACACTGGTAGGACTGTTCGAACGTGGCTTTGCCGAGCCTGAGGAACATTGCGTCGTGGGGAGAAGGGACGGCGGGCGCACAACTCCAGAAGGCGGCGGCCGGGGCACAGGGACAAGACTGCCTGTGAGGAGGCAGACTGGCCAGATCGCAGAGGCTGAACGTTGTGGACCACAGGGTTTGGGGAGCACGGGGAGGCCAGCCGAGGCGGCTCTCCGTGGAACCATTCCGGGGGGTCTTCACGGCACACCCCTCTTTGAAGTGGCAGCGTCCCCTGGACGGCCAGAGACTGTTCAGAACCTCCGGCAGCACCGACCCTGGATCTCAAGGTCTCCGGAATGCCTTGTGTGGACATCTGGGCGTTCTCCGAATGTCTTGAGTCGTTTCCTGCACAGGGCTGCACATCCCCCCGGGGATGGACCTCACTGGTCAGGTGTGAGTTCCTCACAGCAGACTGTTGACATTTGGGGCCTTACTTTCCCACCTGTGTGCACAAACTCTTGATACACCCTTTGACGCCCAGGGCCCGTATGAGAGTCCTCAGAGCTTGATGCTTTCTAAGTGCTGCATTAACAGGTGAAAATTGGGTAATGGATGCCGTTGGTTGTTTGCAAAAATGACCCCAACTGCATCTCCCTGCATCTATAGTGTTTCGTCAAGAGGCAGAGACTGTTTCCCCATTCTCTGGAATCTGGGCACTTTCTGTGACTCGGGTTGGTATTTCGCAAGCTGCAGACCAAGGCTCGAAGAGCCCTTGTCTGCTTCCACACTCTCAGAGCCCTGCCATGCCCGGGCCTGCCAGAGAATGAGCCACTTGGAGCAAGCTGCATTGTCCCGGCTGTGCTGGAGAAGGCAGACCCAAGACCAGTCAAGGCGACTCGCCTGCCTGCGGCGGACTGCAGGCTTGTGGATGCCCTGTCGGGCCCAGTCGAGCCGAGCAGAGTCCGTGGACTCGGAGCCAAGCCTGGTATGTGCTGCTGTGCCCCCCCGGCTGCAGGCTGTCCACGTTGCTGTGGCAAGAGACACCACAGTGTAGCCGCGTCAGCGGTCAGTGCGCATCCACAGACGACCTGGGTCGGGAAAGGCCTTCCCGTGTCACAGTCCACTCAGGACGGCCTTGGACAGTCATGAGTTCCCGCTTACCCTCTAAACCAGCCGGTGGAGCTGGTGGCTTCACAGCCAGCCCTTCATTTGTCCCTGTCCTCCGAATGCTCCTCTCGGGGGTTGCACGTGTCACGTTCTGCTCTTCATGCTCAGTGTTTCTCACTCTGAGCACGACTTGCTGGGCGTGGTGGCTCACACCTGTAATCCCAACACTTTGGGAGGACGAGGTGGGAGGACTGCTTGAGGCCAAGAGTTTGAGACCAGCCCGGGCAACATAGTGAGACACTGTCTCTACAGAAGTAAAAATGAAAAGTGGCCTGGGTGTGGCGGCCTGGGCCTGTCATCCCAATGACACAGGAGGCTGAGGCGGAGGTCCCCTGAGCCCAGAAGTTGGTGGTCGTGGTGAGCTATGGTTTCGCCACTGCACTCACCCCAGCAGAGCAAGACCCTTTTCTGTTTCTTAAAAAGTTACCTGACTGTAACCATAATTGGACTGGTGAGGTTGGGACAGAAATACTCAAACTTAGCCGGGCTCGGTGGCTCAGCCTGTGATCCCGTGCCTTTGGGAGGCTGAGGTGAGTGGATTGCCTGAGCCCGCGGGCTCGAGACCCGCCTGGGCAGCGAGACCTCATCTCTACAATAAATCAAAAAATCAGCTGGGTGTGGTGGCGCATGCCTGTAATTCCGGCTACTTAGAGGCTGAGGCGGAAAGGATCGCCGGAGCCCAGCAGGCGAGGCTGCGGTGGCCGGGAGCGGCCACTACACTCCAGTCCGGGTGACAGAGTGAGACTCCAACTCAAAAAAATTAATTAATTAATTAATTAAAAAATACTCAAACTTTAGCATATAAGTATCACTGATTGTGTTGGTTGATTCTCCGTGTCAACTTGACTTTAGAGTATATCAAAATCCCTGATGATGATGGCTGACTTTGAGTGCCAACTCAACTTTAGAGGGTATAAAAATCCCTGATTGTGTTGTTGGATTCAGGGTGCCCACTCGACTGGGTCAAGGAATACCCAGATTGCTGGTAAAGCGTTCTTTATTCTCAGGGCTTCAGGGACACTGTGCCCATTGCTCTTCTGCTGAAAGGGAAGCCGGGCGCTTTGGTGTTTGGGGAAGGGTCAGCCTGCTGCCTGTGCGTCTGT